ACGTCATTCGGTATCGTGTTACCTTAATTATTTGATTCCAATAGAATATACCAATATCGTGTTAATTATTAAATTCATTGAATTGATACCGTAACAAACATGTGGTTTTCTAATTATCCAATATGGCTGAATTATTTTAGTATTTATCATATATATATATATATATATATATATATATATATATATATATATATAAATATACGAAACCGTCATATAGAAAGTTTAGCTAGTAGCTATATATCGAATCCTTTCATTTCACTTTCAAGAATACTGCAGATGATGATCTTTCACTCAAATTGATTAAACGAGTGGGTACATTATACGTTTTATCTTTTTCTAGAAATTGACATAAAAAACTCAAAAAAGGGAATTAATTTGTGAACCAAAATTAATTATTTCAATTTTGCTATATTACTCATTCCTGGTAGTCATTTGTCATCAAGCCTTAAAGTATCTCAGGCGCGTCATGGTTACATTTTTACGATGGCAATACAAATGGGTTGCTTTTATGTCTAAGGTAACTTAAGCAGGGTTCCAAACTACTCAGAAGTTGTCACTACAAAACCACTAGTCATCATCACGAATGTTGCTGATCAGTACTGTGGATTAACAAAGATATTGACACATTACAATAAAAATCAAAACAGAAAAAAAACATAGCTCTATAGCCCTTTTGGTTTCCGAGTGATAATTAAAGTTCAATTTTACTTTTTTTTTTTTATTTTAACACAATTTCATTAACTTTTAAGTTAGATTTTGACGGTTTTGGCAATTACCGTTCAAGAGTTTTGCATCTTATTTTATTAATGTGTATATTTCTTATTGTTTTTGAGAAGACATAATTAACTTGTAAAACTTGTGTCTGATCCATTTGTCATTTTGAACAATATAATTTGTTAAAGCTAAATTATTGGCTTCAATCATTTCTTTCCATGTCCAAATAGTGTATATTTTGTTAGTTTTATTTATAAAGAAATTGAAACGACTTCAACAGATCATGGACGTATTATATTGACATTTTACTTCCATGAACAGAAAAAGTAACAACCAAGTTTATGGAAAATACCATCTTGGTAAACAATGTTGGAGAGTGGCCATTGTTGAAGATGCATTTAAGTCCAGGTGAGCAATACAAAGCCTTAAGTTATACTTTAACAAAGTATGCTCACTTAAGTCCTACCTCTAATAATTACTCCTACCTTTATACTCTCATTTAGTATGCTCACTTAAGTCCTACCTCTAATAATTACTCCTACCTTTATACTCTTATTTAGTATGCTCACTTAAGCCCTATCTCTAATAATTACTCCTACCTTTATACTCTCATTTAGTATGCTCACTTAAGCCCTATCTCTAATAATTACTCCTACCTTTATACTCTCATTTAGTATGCTCACTTAAGCCCTATCTCTAATAATTACTCCTACCTTTATACTCTCATTTAATATGCTCACTTAAGTCCTACCTCTAATAATTACTCCTACCTTTATACTCTCATTTAGTATGCTCACTTAAGCCCTATCTCTAATAATTACTCCTACCTTTATACTCTCATTTAGTATGCTCACTTAAGCCCTATCTCTAATAATTACTCCTACCTTTATACTCTCATTTAGTATGCTCACTTAAGCCCTATCTCTAATAATTACTCCTACCTTTATACTCTCATTTAGTATGCTCACTTAAGCCCTATCTCTAATAATTACTCCTACCTTTATACTCTCATTTAATATGCTCACTTAAGTCCTACCTCTAATAATTACTCCTACCTTTATACTCTCATTTAGTATGCTCACTTAAGCCCTATCTCTAATAATTACTCCTACCTTTATACTCTCATTTAGTATGCTCACTTAAGCCCTATCTCTAATAATTACTTCTTCCTTTATACTCTCATTTAATATGCTCACTTAAGTCCTACCTCTAATAATTACTCCTACCTTTATACTCTCATTTAGTATGCTCACTTAAGCCCTATCTCTAATAATTACTCCTACCTTTATACTCTCATTTAGTATGCTCACTTAAGCCCTATCTCTAATAATTACTCCTACCTTTATACTCTCATTTAGTATGCTCACTTAAGTCCTATCTCTAATAATTACTCCTACCTTTATACTCTCATTTAGTATGCTCACTTAAGCCCTATCTCTAATAATTACTCCTACCTGTATACTCTCATTTAGTATGCTCACTTAAGCCCTATCTCTAATAATTACTCCTACCTTTATACTCTCATTTAGTATGCTCACTTAAGCCCTATCTCTAATAATTACTCTTACCTTTATACTCTCATTTAGTATGCTCACTTAAGCCCTATCTCTAATAATTACTCTTACCTTTATACTCTCATTTAGTATGCTCACTTTAGCCCTATCTCTAATAATTACTCCTACCTGTATACTCTCATTTAGTATGCTCACTTAAGCCCTATCTCTAATAATTACTCCTACCTTTATACTCTCATTTAGTATGCTCACTTAAGCCCTATCTCTAATAATTACTCCTACCTTTATACTCTCATTTAGTATGCTCACTAAAGCCCTATCTCTAATAATTACTCCTACCTTTATACTCTCATTTAGTATGCTCACTTAAGCCCTATCTCTAATAATTACTCTTACCTTCATACTCTCATTTAGTATGCTCACTTAAGCCCTATCTCTAATAATTACTCCTACCTTTATACTCTCATTTAGTATGCTCACTTAAGCCCTATCTCTAATAATTACTCCTACCTTTATACTCTCATTTAGTATGCTCACTTAAGCCCTATCTCTAATAATTACTCCTACCTTTATACTCTCATTTAGTATGCTCACTTAAGCCCTATCTCTAATAATTACTCCTACCTTTATACTCTCATTTAGTATGCTCACTAAAGCCCTATCTCTAATAATTACTCCTACCTTTATACTCTCATTTAGTATGCTCACTTAAGCCCTATCTCTAATAATTACTCCTACCTTTATACTCTCATTTAGTATGCTGACTTTACTATGTTACCTCATATTAATCCTACTTTTTATACTTTAACATGATATATATAAAAATAAGGAGATGTGGTATGATTGTCAATGAGACAACTATCCATCAGAGTTCATATGAAGAAGATTAAAACAATTATAGGTCACCGTATGGCCTTCAACAATGAGGAAAATCCATATCGTATAGTCAGCTATAAGAGACCCCGACATAAAAATATGAAACAATTCAAACGAAAAAACTAACGGCAGCATTTATGATAATACAATTTACGAAAAAAACTAATATGGAAGATATGAACCAAAGACAACCACTCAATTACAGGCTCCTGATTTCGGACATGCACTTATAGAATGTGGCGTGGTTAAACATGTTCGTGGTTAAACATCAGTCTCTGATACATGATTTTTTATTATTAATTGTTTTTTTGGCTTTTAACTAGCTGTCAGTAATTGCGAGTGCTCTCAAATCGTACTTTTTTGTTCATTTGACCTGTTGATACTAATTGTAATGCTTTTTTGTTATTTAATGTTATTCAGGGTTAAATTTGGTCTATGTACTAGCTTTGATAAGTGATTGGTATTACTATAAATTTTCACTTCGTACTATGAACATCAAAATTATTTATTTTGTAAAAATATATCCTATCTCTATTTGAACTGTACACGTATACCTAACAACATAATTATTTTCATTTACCTGTGTTTAAAGTTATTGCAAATGGCTGATGTTTTTGTTCGAGCATATTGTTTTTCTTAAATTGTTTAACATTTCATAGCGGTATAACATGTTACTTTTATTATTCTTCCCTTAGTTTGTTTATTTTGTATTTACATTGTATCATAGGTCAAATTTATTTGTTCAGTGTATGTTCACTGGTGTTAATATGTCCTTTGATTGAGTTAAGCTATTTCAGTTGATATTTTATAATGTGTCTTTCTATGTTGTGATGTTACACTATTGTTTCAGAAAAAGGGTGAAGGTTTGGTACCATTAAAACGTTTAAACCCGCTGCATTTGTTTGCACCTGTCCTAAGTCAGGAATCTGATGTTCAGTAGTTGTCGTTTGTTGATGTGGTTCATAAGTGTTTCTCGTTTCTCGTTTTTTATATAGATTAGACCGTTGGTTTTCCCGTTTGAATGGTTTTACACTAGTAATTTTTGGGGCCCTTTATAGCTTGCTGTTCGTTGTGAGCTAAGGCTCCATGTTGAAGACCGTACTTTGACCTATAATTGTTTACTTTTATAAATTTTGACTTGGATGGAGAGTTGTCTCATTGGCACTCATACCACATCTTCTTATATCTATTGAAATATTGATTGCCTATGAGACAATATCCATTAAGACCAAAGGCAAAATCGTAAATATACCCATTTAGACGGGTATACTGATGGAGCAGGAACTGTTTAGCCTTCTACAACATATAACGTCATCCCTGGTTCTTTCTGGGGTTCTTATTGCTCTTTTTTTTTTCTTTTTTTTTTTGTGATCTATTTTAATGTTGTGTGTCTTTTCGTTTGTAAATGTTGTTTTTAAGGGGGGTTTGTTGTTGCATTCTTTTGATATGCTGTTATCTGCCTTTCGTCGACTAACGAGTGTTTGGTTGCCTCTTGGTATTATCTCCTTTTTCTATTTTTTTATATATATTCCTCATCTGAAATACATGTTATATGATTCTTTCTAAAGAATAACCTTTACCAATGGTCTCAATAATAGTTGTCGATTTTCAAGGGATTCTCTTCTTTTAAAGATTTGATACTTTCTAGATTTTTTTATTATTTGTCTTTTCTGTTAACTTAAAATACAAAAATCTTATATATATATATATATATATATATGATATGTTTAAGCTCTATCACTTCATTAGATATGTTTTAACACGATGTCCCAATCTCATAAAACAATCCCTGAAACTTTCAGTCAAAAGCGAAATGGAAATATCTATATAGAACTCCATTCTGAAATCATTTTCATTTTTTTTTATCATTCTTTTAATTATGTAAAATAACAATACTGATTATGATGTTTTGTTTATTTCAGCAAAAACGAAAAACACACTTTAATAAGGCATTACAATTGTTATATTCTTTTTTTTTTTACTTTTTTTCAGAAGCGGTACAAAATGTATGAATGGAGATCTGTTCATTTAGCCGTGTTACATTTCCACTCGACTTTAATTCGCTGTTCCATGCAAGTCCCATCAACAAATGCCATCGTCGGTCCTGCAACAGTACATTCTGTCTTTCCATTACAGTCAGTTGGGATATCAGGGGTACATGGTGAAGTGGTACAAAGAGGTTTTGTAATCTCAATCTGTGAACCAGTTGGACAACTTATTTCTGCAGTTTCCCCAAAAAGTGCAACAGCTCTATTATCTAAGAAATAAGGAAATTTCATGTAATATTAGTTACATAGTGTGCTCGTGACTTAATACGATATATACGGAGTCAGTAAATTTCATATGGGATGAGAGCGAAGTGTGCTAGTGACCTTATACGATATAATGGGGTCAGTTACTTCCATATGGGGTGAGAGCAAAGTGTGCTGGTGACCTTATACGATATATATGGGGTCAGTAAATTCCAAATGGGGTGAGAGCGAAGTGTGCTAGTGACCTTATACGATATATATAGGGTCAGTAAATTCCATATGGGATGAGAGCGAAGTGTCTTAGTGATCTTATACGATATATATGGGGTCGTCAGTAAACTCCATATGAGATGAGAGCGAAGTGTGCTAGTGACCTTGTACGATATATATGGGGTTGGTAAATTCCATATGGGGTTCGAACAAACTATTAGGTCACTAGCATAACGAATTTTTCTTAACGACTATTTTAACATGTGGCATTTAGACTAGTAGCCTATCAAAGTGATCAAGTCTTCAATATTAAGAACCTAATTCCATTGGTCTATTCAAAAATAAATGCCAACAATAACCACATGTTAGCTTTAATGTGTTTTCTGCATTTATTTTCAGTCGTTCATCACCAATTTTTTCATCTGTTGTTTGGGCGAAACGTTTCAGATTTTTCTTCAACGTCATGTTGATTTTAGAAAGGGACGTAACACTATTACTAACCCAATATTAAAATAAAACACGCCCACTGACCCCATATTCAATATACAGGGTCTCCACGCGGTCGCTTTTAACCAATCACATTCCTAGAAATGTATAGTAAGTAAAATAATGTATGATATCTACAATACACAAACACGGTTTTATATTTAGACATATTGTTGTTGTTTTTTCTAGACCATGAGCTCACGACTGTGTCGGTTAGGTTCATCGTCTTCTATCATGTCTATATACTTCTACCATCAATGCATATATAAATGTTTTGCATTTACCATCATAACGAGTTTATCGATCGTTCAGGCCTGTCACAAATTAATGGACATTTCTCTCGTCTTTTACGTCCTTTTGTCGATTTTGAACCTTCCCGAATTTGTCTAATTGGTTAATAACTTCACCGAATTACAAATTGTTTCATATAATAAACATCATAACCCTTACTTAGCTTTGTACTTCTGTGTTAGTTGATAGTATTTCCTCGAGTTTTGTTTGTTCGGTCTCGTAGTTTTTTTTGTTTTGTTTTTTTTTTTATATTTGTATTCTTCGAGTATACCCTTTTGATTATTACACCTTTTAACTTATTTGATTCGTTACTTCTACTACCCTGGTATCCTGGCTCAGACAGATTGGACTAGGGCCTCACGCTTTACACCTACCCTGGTATCCTGTCTCAGACAGATTGGACTAGGGCCTCACGCTTTACACCTACCCTGGTATCCTGTCTCAGACAGATTGGACTAGGGCCTCACGCTTTACACCTACCCTGGTATCCTGTCTCAGACAGATTGGACTAGGGCCTCACGCTTTACACATACCCGTTCTTTCAATTCTGATTGAAATTTTCAAATAATTACAATAATGTTCTTTACGGCATTCTACTTTTATATAAAAAATAATGTATTGCTTGTAGAAGAGATGCGGGAGATACCAAAGAACATCATAGCAAAAAACAAAATGAGGAACAATCAAAAGATAAACAACAGTATACAAATCACAACATCGAAAACTAAAGACTGCGCAACAAGAACCACACAAAAAACCAGGGTTGATCACAGGTGGCCCGGAAGGGCATGTAGACAGTAGATATTCCTTTTTAGATTTTATTCGCAGCTGATCGAGACTCGCGGGTAAATTAGAGCTGATTGTATAGACACTTGTCTTTTGTTTGGCGGAGTGTCTGTTTTGGTTGTTATCTCACTTAAGTATACTGTAATGACCTTTTCAAACTTAATCAACTATATTGAAAGGGAATCAAATGCTGAAGTCCAGTTCACGGTATAAAAGAAAAAGAGTGAAATATTTAGAAAAAAAAACATTGATTAATATACCTTTGCATTTATATCTGACCATCAAGTTTTCCGTCTTATCAGTGCATGAAGTGGTATCGAAAGCTGCATCATTAGCTGTGATTTTACAAGATATTTGGCCATCACACAATTTCTTGGCACTGTCAGTGGCGCCGTCATCTGTACATGTAGACGGGCTTGCACGGATGTCACCTTCACAAGTTATATCACCATATGTAGCCTCGGCTACCACAATTGTTTCATCAGCATCACACTGGAGAGTCAACTCCGCTCCTTGGCACACAGTAACAGGTGCTGCAACAATATACATACAATGTCATTTAGATATAAGTTCTAACTCTCCATCTCTAAATAGAAATGCCCGTATTTTATTTCCTCATTATACAGATAAGCTGATACCATAGCATGATTTTACTGTAAGGGTTTCAGTCATATGGTGTCGCTTCCATGAAAACTAATCATATTGTGTCAATGAAACACTTAAATCTGTGTTATTCCAGTTGGATTTTTAATTGTGACAGTAGTGTACCCTATCTACCCAACACTGGTAGATTTAATACAGACTAAAAGGCATCGTCATGGCAAGCCATTTTACTATTTATTCTTACTTCAAGATATCTAATAAACTTTATAGGATATATCATATAGTTTATAAGATATTTCATATAGTTTATAAGATATCTTAATATATATTTTATAAAATATCTTAATATTAATTAAATAGTTTATAAGACATCTTATATAGTTTTATAAGATATTTCATATAATTTTCTTTATTAAATATCTTACAAATTATATGAGATATCTTATAAACTATATGAGATATCTTATAAACTATATGAGATATCTTATAAACTATATAGATATCTCATAAAATATATGAGTTGCTTAAAAAGTATGCAAGATATGTCATATAAAAAATATCTATAAGATATCTTATATAAAAAAATATTCTAAATCTTCTAAACTTTATAAGATATCTTATATACTTTAGAAGATATCTTATAAACTTTAGAAGATATGTTATAAAGAATATAAGATATCTTATAAAAACTAGATTTTATAAGAAATCTGATATATTAATATATAAGATAACTTATTGTATGAGATATACTTACCAGACATCGTCGAAAATGCGGTCTTGTGACATGGATTATTTAGAATTCTGACTATGACTTGATGAAGTACGCATATATGTAATAACTAATGTAATATTTTATAAATATAATTGCTATAATTATGTCTATCGTGCACCAAACCTTTCGGGTTAATTCGGATTATTTTTTTAATCCTTTGGTTTGTTTTTGTCCCATTTGTTATAATTTATGTGCTTTGTAAATTTTGTTTTTGTTTTTGTGAGTGATATTTTCCTCTTATCTTTATTTATTCAATAAATGGGTTACGTATGCGTGAGAACAGTATTAAACCGGGATTCATACACGGACTCTATTTATACATTTTTGCAACAATAGAAAATACGAAAAAATGATTCATTCTAAATATAGCTTTAGGAAGAACAAGCTGTATAAAACAAATCACAAACCACAAAGCTTCGTGTGATTTTGTAGCTTCATGCAAATTGTGTCCATTTGAATACAATGTATATATGAACAGATGTCCGTGTTAGACTTTTTGGTAAATATCCAATATACGCAGTCAGACAACAGTTGTCACTTAACATCTTGTCATTCTTTACTCATTTAAATATGAAAATTATTTATCAATGCAAAACCTAGATTTCTAACAAAATTTAGATAGTAACCACAGTCTTAAGAACCGATATTTGGAGTCAAGGACGAAATACTAATAGGAAAGCCAGAAATACTCACAAAATATAAAAGACTCTGTCATAATTGCACACATAGTATAATAGAAGATAAAATGCGTTTTATTGGAACGTGTCTCTTTGTATGATATATATCAAGAAAACTATTCTTAAACAATATTTCCCAAGAGTTTCCTAATTTATTCAATCTAAACTTCCAAAATGTATTTTTTGGATGACTACTAAGACGATTTAGATTTCAATATTTCTCTTTGTGAGTTTTGAAATGGGAAAAAAAAACTATTATCGTTGTGGTGCTATAGAAACCAGCTTTCATTTTTTATCAACGTGTCCTAATTACACTAACATACACCAAGTGCTAACGAGTTGTCTTGCTGATTTTCCACAGCGTATTCATGTCAATGATTTACTTTTTATGTCAGATTTTGTTTACTGAAGAAGAACATAGTACTCTTGTCGTATTGACACAAAAAAAACATTGAAAAGTAAAGATTCACAAATTAACATGAAAGCTTCAATTATATGCTTCCGTTGCATTTTAACTAGTTTATTTCAATCACTTTGTTTTTTTTTCTCTCCATTTTTACTCAAATTAAAATATATAAAACTTATTTTGTTTTTTGTTTTTTATTATTCTCACTACATTCCGATTGACACAGCATATGCTCCAAGTATTCATAATTGTGTATGTCATAATTTTAGACAGATTATGATAAACAATCTTGTTTCTGGATCCATTTGTTTTTATTATATTTCACGTTAAAATGGCAGATTTTGATTGGCTAATACGAGGGAGATAATTTACTCTATCCTATGGCTGAGCGGGAAACAATTTTTTTCGAATGTCACCCTCTCGTGAAGACCAATCAAAAATCGATAATCTAAAGGACAATGAATTGAATTTACATCAAATAATTAAAGACAATTCTTAATTTCTACGTTTTGGATCAGAACTTTTTCATAGACTGTCAAAATAAAAAAATTAAAAAATCTTGCTTCACTTCTGTTTATTTTTTTAATACCACTAACGTTGTTATGTATGTGACGTCATAGTAAAATACTTCAAATTCAATATCCAACAGTAAAAGACAATAATGATAGGACATTCAGTATAATAAATTAAATAACACATAGTTGAGAGGGTGATAGAGCAGATTGGTATCCCTCGAAAAAACATTGTCAACCTTGGCTTCGCCTCAGTTGACAATGTTTTCTCGGGGTAACAATCTGCTCTATCACCCTCTCAGCTATGTGTTAATTATATAATACTGTATTATCTTATAAAGCATGTTTTATTTCAATGAATATAATATTATTAACCAAAACACAGTATTACCTAAATGTTAATGGTCATGTATTATATACATACATACCAATAAATAAAATTAGAGTTATTCCTACTTATACTTATTTATTGTACATTTAACATGTTTTTTTTATTCTTCCTTGTACATATTTTTGTGCATTTAATAGAAAAACAAAGGATATGGGGTATCCATCCATGACACAAAATCAGTAATGCACAGCAAAAAAACACACAAAAAGCAAAGGAACAGCGCTTTTATTGCTGTTCTTCATCTAAAAGTCACAGTGAGGCCTTCGACACGGAGCAAAAAAACTCTCACCTCATTACAAGTTTAAACCAGGCTGAAGCTAGCGAACAATAACTAGCGAACAATAAGCCAGCGAACAATAAGGCGATATATCTAAAAACCGAAAAAATGAATAAGACAGCAACGGCCGTTAAATGAAAAATATTTAAACAGGCAGAAATTCCGTCCAAATATTGCAATTTCAACTCTATCATGAAATGGTATTTATCCCATCCATTGATAAAACAAGTCACATCTCTTTTTAGGCTAATATTCAGTACCACAGTAAATCTGCATCTGTCAAAGGATTATTTGTAGGTGTAAAACCACCAATGCACCCACTTCCATTTAGTACGTATGTAAAAGTAGTCCTTCCCTGTAAAATACAGCACCTTTGATGTCATTGTTTAATTGAACTAAGATACACATTTGCAGAAATGGGGGTTGGCCTATTCCATGGCTTCTTGAGAAAAATAATGAGGGGTGTCACGGGGTATGACTATATAGGTCTTGTAGAGGAGAAACAGGCGCATCTTTTGCGCAAGGTATCGAAGGGCGCTATGTTCAAAAATCTGAAACTAGAGCTCAAAATTTGAAAAAAATTTGTTAAAAACAGGGGAAATGGCCTATTCCATGGCTTCTAGAGAAAAATAATGAGGGGTGTCACGGGGTATGACTATATAGGTCTTGTAGAGGAGAAACAGGCGCATCTTTTGCGCATGGTATCGAAGGGCGCTATGTTCAAAAATCTGAAACTAGAGCTCAAAATTTGAAAAAAAAAATTGTTAAAAACAGGGGGGTTGGCCTATTCCATGGCTTCTAGAGAAAAATAATGAGGGGTGTCACGGGGTATGACTATATAGGTCTTGTAGAGGAGAAACAGGCGCATCTTTTGCGCAAGGTATTGAGGGGCGCTATGTTCAAAAATCTGAAACTAGAGCTCAAAATTTGAAAAAAAAAATTGTTAAAAACAGGGGGTTGGCCTATTCAATGGTTTCTAGGGAAAAATAATGAGGGGTGTCACGGGGTATGACAATATAGGTCTTGTAGAAGAGAAACAGGCGCATCCTTTGCGCAAGGTATCGAAGGGCGCTATGTTCAAAAATCTGAAACTAGAGCTCAAAATTTGAAAAAAAATGTTAAAAACAGGGGGGTTGGCCTATTTAATGGCTTCTACAGAAAAATAATGAGGGGTGTCACGGGGTATGACAATATAGGTCTTGTAGAAGAGAAACAGGCGCATCTCTTGCGCAAGGTTTCGAAGGGCGCTATGTTCAAAAATCTGAAACTAGAGCTCAAAATTTGAAAAAAATTGTTAAAAACAGAAGGTTGGCCTAGTCCATGGCTTCTAGAGAAAAATAATGAGGGGTGTCACGGGGTATGACTATATAGGTCTTGTAGAGGAGAAACAGGCGCATCTCTTGCGCAAGGTATCGAAGGGCGCTATGTTCAAAAATCTGAAACTAGAGCTCAAAATTTGAAAAAAATTGTTTAAAACAGGGGGGTTGGCCTATTCCTTGGTTTCTAGAGAAAAATAATGAGGGATGTCACGGGGTATGTCTATATAGGTCTTGAAGAAGAGAAACAGGCGCATCTTTTGCGCAAGGTATCGAAGGGCGCTATGTTCAAAAATCTGAAACTAGAGCTCAAAATTTGAAAAAAAAAATTGTTAAAAACAGGGGGTTGGCCTATTCAATTGTTTCTAGGGAAAAATAATGAGGGGTGTCACGGGGTATGACAATATAGGTCTTGTAGAAGAGAAACAGGCGCATTTTTTGCGCAAGGTATCGAAGGGCGCTATGTTCAAAAATCTGAAACTAGAGCTCAAAATTTGAAAAAAAATTTTGAAAACAGGGGGGTTGGCCTATTCAATGGCTTCTACAGAAAAATAATGAGGGGTGTCACGGGGTATGACTATATAGGCCTTGTAGAAGAGAAACAGGCGCATCTTTTGCGCAAGGTATCGAAGGGCGCTATGTTCAAAAATCTGAAACTAGAGCTCAAAATTTGAAAAATAAATTGTTAAAAACAGGGGGGTTGGCCTATTCCATGGCTTTCACAGAAAAATAATGAGGGGTGTCACGGGGTATGACTATATAGGTCTTGTAAAGGAGAAACAGGCGCATCTTTTGCGCAAGGTATCGAAGGGCGCTATGTTCAAAAATCTGAAACTAGAGCTCAAAATTTAAAAAAAATTGTTAAAAACAGGGGGAATAGCCTATTCCATGGCTTCTAGAGAAAAACAATGAAGGGTGTCACGGGGTATGACTATATAGGTCTTGTAGAGGAGAAACAAGCGCATCTTTTGCGCAAGGTAACGAAGGGCGCTATGTTCAAAAATCTGAAACTAGAGCTCAAAATTTGAAAAAAAAATATTAAAAACAGGGGGTTGGCCTATTCAATAGCTTCTAGAGAAAAATAATGAAGGATGTCACGGGGTATGACTATATAGGTCTTATAGAGGAGAAACAGGCGCATCTCTTGTGCAAGGTATCGAAGGGCGCTATGTTCAAAAATCTGAAACTAGAGCTCAAAATTTGAAAAAAACATTGTTAAAAACAGGGGGGTTGGCCTATTCCATGGTTTCTAGAGAAAAATAATGAGGGGTGTCACGGGGTATGACTATATAGGTCTTGTAGAGGAGAAACAGGCGCATCTTTTGCGCAAGGTATCGAAGGGCGCTATGTTCAAAAATCTGAAACTAGAGCTAAAATTTGAAAAAAAATGTTAAAAACAGGGGGGTTGGCCTATTCCATGGCTTCTACAGAAAAATAATGAGGGGTGTCACGGGGTATGACAATATAGGTCTTGTAGAAGAGAAACAGGCGCATCTCTTGCGCAAGTTATCGAAGGGCGATATGTTCAAAAATCTGAAACTAGAGCTCAAAATTTGAAAAAAAAGTGTTAAAAACAGGGGGGTTGGCCTATTCTATGGCTTCTAGAGAAAAATAATGAGGGATGTCACGGGGTATGACTATATAGGTCTTGTAGAGAAGAAACAGGCGCATCTCTTGTGCGAGGTATCGAAGGGCGCTACGTTCAAAAATCTGAAACTAGAGCTCAAAATTTGAAAAAAAATTGTTAAAAACAGGGGGGTTGGCCAATTCCCTGGTTTCTAGAGAAAAATAATGAGGGGTGTCACGGGGTATGACTATATAGGTCTTGTAGAGGAGAAACAGGCGCATATCTTGCGCAAGGTTTTGAAGGGCGCTATGTTCAAAAATCTGAAACTAGAGCTCAAAATTTGAAAAAAATTGTTAAAAACAGGGAGGTTGGCCTATTCCATGGCTTCTAGAGAAAAATAACGAGGGGTGTCACGGGGTATGACTATATAGGTCTTGTAGAGGAGAAACAGGCGCATCTCTTGCGAAAAAAATCGAAAGGCGCTTTGTTCAAAATTCTGAAACTAGAGCTCAAAATTTGAAAAAAAATGTTAAAACAGGGGGGTTGGCCTATTCTATGGCTTCTAGAGAAAAATAACGAGGAGTGTCACGGGGTATGACTATATAGGTCTTGTAGAGGAGAAACAGGCGCATCTCTTGCGCAAGGTATTATAGGGCGCTATGTTAAAAAAATCTGAAACTAGAGCTCAAAATTTGAAAAAAAATTGTTAAAAACAGGGGGAATGGCCTATTCCATGGCTTCTAGAGAAAAATAATGAGGGGTGTCACGGGGTATGACTATATAGGTCTTGTAGAAGAGAAACAAGCGCATCTTTTGCGCAAGGTAACGAAGGGCGCTATGTTCAAAAATCTGAAACTAGAGCTCAAAATTTGAAAAAAAATTTATTAAAAAACAGGAGGAATGGCCTATTCCATGGCTTCTAGAGAAAAATAATGAGGGGTGTCACGGGGTATGACTATACAGGTCTTGTAGAGGAGAAACAGGCGCATCTCTTGCGCAAGGTATTGAAGGGCGCTATGTTCAAAAATCTGAAACTAGAGCTCAAAATTTGAAAAATAATTGTTAAAAACAGGGGGAATGGCCTATTCCATGGCTTCTAGAGAAAAATAACGAGGGGTGTCACGGGGTATGACTATATAGGTCTTGTAGAAGAGAAACACGCGCATCTTTTGCTCAAGGTATCGAAGGGCGCTATGTTCAAAAATCTGAAACTAGAGCTCAAAAATTAAAAAAAAATGTTAAAATCAGGGGTGTTGGCCTATTCCATGGTTTCTAGAGAAAAATAATGAGGGGTGTCACGGGGTGTGTCTATAAAGGTCTTGTAGAAGAGAAACAGGCGCATCTTTTGCGCGAGGTATCGAAGGGCGCTATGTTCAAAAATCTGAAACTAGAGCTCAAAATTTGAAAAAAAGTGTTAAAAACAGGGGGGTTGGCCTATTCCATGGCTTCTAGAGAAAAATAATGAGGAGTGTCACGGGGTATGACTATATAGGTCTTGTAGAGGAGAAACAGTCGCATCTCTTGTGCAAGGTATCGAAGGGCGCTATGTTCAAAAATCTGAAACTAGAACTCAATATTTGAAAAAAAATGTTATAACAGGGGGTTGGCCTATTCCATGGTTTCTAGAGAAAAATAATGAGAGGTGTCACGGGGTATGACTATATAGGTCTTGTAGAGGAGAAACAGGCGCATCTCTTGCGCAAGGTATTATAGGGCGCTATGTTCAAAAAATCTGAAACTAGAGCTCAAAAATTGAAAAAAAATTGTTAAAAACAGGGGGAATGGCCTATTCCATGGCTTCTAGAGAAAAATAATGAGGGGTGTCACGGGGTATGACTATACAGGTCTTGTAGAGGAGAAACAGGCGCATCTCTTGCGCAAGGTATTGAAGGGCGCTATGTTCAAAAATCTGAAACTAGAGCTCAAAATTTGAAAAATAATCGTTAAAAACAGGGGGAATGGCCTATTCCATGGCTTCTAGAGAAAAATAATGAGGGGTGTCACGGGGTATGACTATATAGGTCGTGTAGAAGAGAAACACGCGCATCTTTTGCTCAAGGTAACGAAGGGCGCTATGTTCAAAAATCTGAAACTAGAGCTCAAAATTTGAAAAAAAGTGTTAAAAACACGGGAGTTGGCCTATTCCATGGCTTCTAGAGAAAAATAATGAGGAGTGTCACGGGGTATGACTATATAGGTCTTGTAGAGGAGAAACAGGCGCATCTCTTGTGCAAGGTATCGAAGGGCGCTATGTTCAAAAATCTGAAACTAGAGCTCAAAATTTGAAAAAAAATGTTAAAACAGGGGGTTGGCCTATTCCATGGTTTCTAGAGAAAAATAATGAGAGGTGTCACGGGGTATGACTATATAGGTCTTGTAGAGGAGAAACAGGCGCATCTCTTGCGCAAGGTATTATAGGGCGCTATGTTAAAAAAATCTGAAACTAGAGCTCAAAATTTGAAAAAAAATTGTTAAAAACAGGGGGAATGGCCTATTCCATGGCTTCTAGAGAAAAATAATGAGGGGTGTCACGGGGTATGACTATATAGGTCTTGTAGAAGAGAAACAAGCGCATCTTTTGCGCAAGGTAACGAAGGGCGCTATGTTCAAAAATCAGAAACTAGAGCTCAAAATTTGAAAAAAAAATTATTAAAAACAGGAGGAATGGCCTATTCCATGGCTTCTAGAGAAAAATAATGAGGGGTGTCACGGGGTATGACTATATAGGTCTTGTAGAGGAGAAACACGCGCATCTTTTGCTCAAGGTATCGAAGGGCGCTATGTTCAAAAATCTGAAACTAGAGCTCAAAATTTAAAATAAAATGTTAAAATCAGGGGGGTTGGCCTATTCCATGGTTTCTAGAGAAAAATAATGAGGGGTGTCACGGGGTGTGTCTATAAAGGTCTTGTAGAAGAGAAACAGGCGCATCTTTTGCGCAAGGTATCGAAGGGCGCTATGTTAAAAAATCTGAAACTAGAGCTCAAAATTTGAAAAAAAGTGTTAAAAACAGGGGGGTTGGCCTATTCCATGGCTTCTAGAGAAAAATAATGAGGAGTGTCACGGGGTATGACTATATAGGTCTTGTAGAGGAGAAACAGGCGCATCTCTTGTGCAAGGTATTGAAGGGCGCTATGTTCAAAAATCTGAAACTAGAGCTCAAAATTTGAAAAAAAAATTGTTAAAAACAGGGGGGTTGGTCTATTCCATGGCTTCTACAGAAAAATAATGAGGGGTGTCACGGGGTTTTACTATAAAGGTCTTGTAGAGGAGAAACAGGCGCATCTTTTGCGCAAGATATCGAAGGGCGTTATGTTCAAAAATCTGAAACTAGAGCTCAAAATTTGAAAAAAAAATTGTTAAAAACATGGGGTTGGCCTATTCCATGGCTTCTAGAGAAAAATATTGAGGGGTGTCACGGGGTATGACTATATAGGTCTTGTAGAGGAGAAACAGGCGCATCTCTTGCGCAAGGTATTGAAGGGCGCTATGTTCAAAAATCTGAAACTAGAGCTCAAAATTTGAAAAAAAATTGATAAAAACAGGGGGGTTGGCCTGTTCTATGGCTTCTAGAGAAAAATAATGAGGGCTGTCACGGGATAGGACTATATAGGTCTTGTAGAGAAGAAACATGCGCATCTTTTGCGCAAGGTATCGAATGGGGCTATTTTAAAAAATCTGAAACTAGGGCTCAAAAGTTAAAAAAAAAAAAGGAAAAAACAGAGGGGGTTGGCCTATTGGTGTAATACCTCCAATGATTTTCTTTTTTTTTTTTTTTAAATTTGCAGTTTTCAAAAAAATGTGGAGAATTTATCTTTGTTTCAAATTAAAAAATTAACATAACATTTCATTGCATATAAGAAAATAACTGTCACTGTCAGTTAACCAATCAAATTTGCCCCTTATTTAACCTGTGTACAAGCTTTAGTAACCATGCAACCTCAAGTTTCCAAAATATTCTATAGAAACCCCAAATAAAACAATAATGATTCTTTGAAATACCCAAGATACATGTATATGTTTATGACCCAGAAATATTTTACTGCAATAAAATGATGGATTAATTACCTACAACTGTCAAATTCAAGGGAATATTTTTTTCGACCTATTTTTGTAACCGGATGTGACGTGCCATGATTTGGTGGTATTACACCTGAAGAAGACATTTTTATTCAATAAACTGAAAGGGATTTTTTCCTTTGTAATACTGTTTTTTTTTCAAGCATTCCTGTCATGTTTTGTCATAATCATTTCAATAGTTTGAGAAAAATCTAGTATAATGTACGACGACATCTTCAGCGATTCGTGCAAACCAAGCCGCATCATGATAGAATATAGTGTGGACCAATAATGATTAAATATTTATCTCATCTGTCTACAAACAGTTGAATTTGATACAAAAGATGACTTTAGGATGATAAATACCACTAATGGATCCTTTGTCTTCTTGATAAGGTCTCTTTTGGTCCATTTATACATGTCATTTCCTCAAAATTTCAACTTTTCAGGCCAATAATTAAAAATAATGAAGTAACTTTCACTCATTTATGATAGAAATGTTATAATAAATTACATTGAGTAATTGAAGTATTCAAGCAGAATGAACAATCCATATAAAAGTTTACTGGAGGTTTTAATAAGTCCTTACGTAAAACTTAAATTTACGCTGCGTTCCAGAGAGGGACATAAAAAGCTTCTCTATTAGTGAATAATTTGTTGGTACTGCTTTAAAAAATAATCACATTTACTTATAATTATATATTTATTAAAATATTTCTGAGAGAAAACTTTCTAATATAGCAGAATATAAGAAAAAAAGGAGAAAAAGCTCCCCAAAACACCGTGAAGTATGGCTTGTTCTGTTAACTAATATTCATGGTAGAGTTCAAATTCAAGGAAATGTTCTCATAAAATATGTTTTGGAGACTCAATCCACTCAGAATATTTCATTATTTGTAATATTTCACTTGAATAGCAAGAAATTTTAACACATGAGAGTACTCACAAGGTCAAAGGTGCATATACAGCACCCCATATTAGGTATAATACCACCATTGATTTTCCCCTATTAGTCTTTTTAAAATTTGCACTTTTCAAAAAATTGTGCAGAATTTATCTTTGTTTCAAATTAAAAAAATACTTGGGATGAGTAAAGTTTTATCCTGTCCAGTACTATAGAAAAAAATTCACATAATGTAAATTTCATTGCATATAAGAAAATAACCATAACTTCAGTTAACCAATCAAATTTCCCCCCTTATATAACCTGTGTACAAGCTTTAGTAACCATGCAACCTCAAGTTTCCAAAATATTCTACAGAAATCCAAAATAAAAAAATTGAAATACCCAAGATACATATATATGTTTATGACCCAGAAATGTTTTACTGCAATAAAATGATGAATTAATTACCTACAACTGTCAAATTCCAGGGAATATTTTTTCGACCTATTTTCGTATGCAACCGGATGTGACGTACCATGCATTAATTGGTGGTATTACACCTATTCAATGGCTTCTAGAGAAAAAAATAATGTGGAGTTTCACGGGGTATAGCTATATAGGTGTTGTAGAGGAGAAACAGGCGCATGGTTTGCGCAAGGTTTCGAGTTGCGCTTTGTCCAAAAACTGAAACTAGGGCT